GGCCGGCAGCGCGCACGCGCGGGCTTCGCGGGGCCGAACCCGCCGCAGGTCTCGCGCGCGGCACGCGACCCGGGCCTCTGGATGTGGCGGCCAGCCCGGGGACAGGGGAGGGCGGCGGTCACACCCCGCCTCGGAGAGGGAGGCGGTACAAAGGCGGAGAGGGTGCCGCTCCTGCACCCGACAGCCCCCCTGGGCTCCCAACCCCGAGCCCGGACAACGGGTCGGATCCTCACACTCTGCAGCAGGCTCCTCCTCTGCGCCGCCATCTTGGAGGGACCCCCGCGCCCGCCTCCCGGCAGAGCAGCGAGAAGGGCGGCTAGAGCGGCAAGGAGGACCGCGCTGCCAGGGAGCATGCGCCCAGCGCCAGCCCGCGGCCGAAGAGGGATGGGGCGGTAGCGGAGCGTGTGCGCAGGCGCGCTCTTCCACTTTTTCTCTCCTGGGCCCACGGAGCGCGAGGGTTCGGAACACCTTCACGATCTCTGTCTGACTTCTGCCCATCTTTTTTTTTTTTTTTTTTTTTTTTTAAGGCCCCGGATTAAGGTTCTTTATGAACACAGTGGGGGCGGGGAAGGTGAATTATTCATTCACTCAACCAATGCTCATAGAGTGACTGTGGCTGGCTCTATAGTGGGTCCCCCACTGAGCAAGACAGGCCTTCAAAAAGCTAACGTTTTATTTGGGGAGGGCAAAGCTTATATACATAAGACATTCTAAGAAGTCTAAATTCTAGGAAGAGAAGTCATGGATGGTGGCATGGGAGTGTGGCGTTACCTGGCAACGGGGAAAAGCAGGCTAGGTGGAGAGGACAGCTAGTGCAAAAGTCCCAAGGACAAGGATCGTGTGGGTTCAAGAAGCATGCGTGTCACAGAAGGCTGCTGTGGCTGGAGCAGAGATAGAGGAGAGATGTGAAGGGGCGTCGCCCCAGGCAGGAGCTTGGCTATTATCTGGAGGACAAAGGGAAGTTGTTGACTTGTTAGCAAGCGATTGACGTGGTCCTATTAGTAGGAAGATCTTTTTTTTTTTTTAAAAGATGACCGGTAAGGGGATCTCAACCCTTGGCTTGGTGTTG